GTGGAGGGGCGGGTGGAGGGGGTCTGACGGGGACCAGCTGGCTGTCGCAGCCCAGCTTCCGGGCCCGGAGGCTGTGTGCGCAAGGGCCCCGGGCAGGGTGGCGGCAGGCCCCAAATGGAAGCCCACCCCAACCTTGAGCACTCAGACGGACGGAATCCCGGGAGCGGAGCCTCCATCCTGGCCCCGGGTCTGAGCAAGCAGCCAAGGACGCGTCTGGGCGAGAGGGAGGGGACCAGCGAGGGACGTGGCAGTGAGTACGGCAGTGGGGGCGGCGCGGAGGCCCCGGATCGTGGGGCCTGGACCTGGGGGCCAGGGAGCTGCAGTTCCCCAGCGGGGGCTCTGGGACGGGCGAGGTGGAGCCGGCACATGTGTGGGGATCCGAGGTGCCTGGCAGCGCCCAGGGCGGGTGGAGACGCGAAGCTCCTGTCCCGGCCTCAGGCACAGGGTGGCAGCGCCCAGCAGCTGGCACGGCTCCGGTGGTTCTTGGAAAGCGCCCGCCCCTCCCATGGCTCAACATTTGCTGCCAGAAACCGGACGGCCCCTCCCGCGTGTGCCCACTCGGCGCAGCCCTGCTGGACCCTGACAGTGAGGACAGGGCGACGGGGGCCCCAGGCAGCAGGCAACAGGCGGCAAGGTCCGAGAATCTCTTTATAAAACGCGGGCGGCAAGCGGCTCACACGAAGATCTGGATGCGGTCGCGGATGGGCTGGCGGCAGATGGGGCAGGCGCTGAGCGCAGCGCCGCAGGGCGCGCAAGCGCCGTGGCCGCACTGAAACACCAGGCGGATGTGGCTGTCGATGCAGATGGGGCAGGTGATGCGCTCCTCCATCTGCCGGTAGCGGCTCTGCAGCTCCTCCACCAGCTGCCGCGGTGGCCCGGGCGCTGAGGCGGTGCCCGCCACCTCGGAGCCGTCTGCTGGGCGGGATGTGGGGTCAGCCGGGCGGGGTCGCGCCCCCCACGTCGCCCCCAAACTCTCACCCACCTGGGCGAAGCTTCTTGACGATGGCCACCTGGCAGCGGATACACTTCTTCATCCTGCGCGCACACTCTGCGGGGACAGCAGCGGGTTGGCCACGTGCTGGCCAAGCCCCCGGGCCCTAGTGTCCCGCACTCACCCTCACACACGGTGCGGTGCTGGCATGGTGAGAACAGAACCAGCGGCACCAGCTCGGAGCATACCAGGCACTCGGCGGCCTCGGGCCCCACGGCGGCCACGTGCAGATTCGTCACGGTGTTTGGGGTGCTGCGCGTGAGCCTGGGGCCCGTGGCCCGGCCTCCTCCGCTGCCTGCCTGCCGCTCCCTACAATCGGAGGGGGGCTCGAAAAGGTTCCGCGGCTGGTGCAGGGGGGCAACCCGTGCAGTGCACGCTCACCGGAAGCGCTGGGCACAGCCCTGCAGGGCCTTGAGCACGCGGGCCTCGGTGGCCAGGTCCAGAGGACTCCGTCCCCGGTGGTTGGCATAGCCCACGTCAGCGCCCTCCAGCGCCAGAAAGCAGGCAACTGCGGTGCCCACGGTCAGCTCCGTGCTGCCTGGGAGGCCCAGGGCCTGCAGCTGGGCCACAGGACAGGAGCCGGTGAGGGTGACTCAGGCAGGCCCAAGCGAAGCCCCTGCTCTTTGCCAAAAGCTGTAGGTACCCTTGCTGTCTGAGGCTCCAGGGAGAGGGGCAGGCTGGAGGCCCTAATGACCTATGCTGACCAGCACAAGGGACAATGCCTGCAAACCTGTCCCCCATGCTGCCCCCTCCCAGAAAGCCTGGCTCCCGGGGCACCCCCAAAGCAGAGGTGGACTTGCAGAGCCACCTCTCCACACCCTTCCTCACGTCCTCACCCTGGACAGCAGCTGCAAGGGCCCTGCGTCCCCCCCAGCCCTGTCAGCCACCAGGGGCAGCAGCTGATGGCGCTGCAGTGCCACATGAAGGGCTGTGTCCCCCTCCTCGTCCTCCGTGTTCACGCTGCAGCCAGCATCCACCAGCAGAGGCACCAGCCCCACGTGGCCTTGCTGCACTGCTAGGTGCAATGCGGACTGCAGCTTGCGGTTTCGCACGTTCACGTCACAGCGGCCCTGTGGAGCAGTGCAGGTTCAGCCCAGGTCCCTCACCCAGCCTGGCTCCTGGCCCTGGGAGGCCCAGGGCCTACCTCCTGGATCAGGATCTGGGCCACCTCACGGTGGTTGTTGAGGGCAGCCAGATGTAGGGCTGTGAAGCCATCCTCTTTCTTGACATCCACCAGCTGCCGAGCCCGTGCTAGAATCTTCCTGACGGCTCTGTGGGAGCGGGGAGATCTGTCCAGGGCTGGCACTGTCCCCAGGCTGGCTGCCAGGGGGTGCCCACCCCGACTCACAGAGCATGGCCTTTGAGGGACGCATGGTGCAGCAGTGTGAATCCCTGGCTGTTGGTGGCAGTAATGTTAATGCCTGGCACCTCAGTGAGGACCTTGACAATGCCACTGGCACCTGTGCCCGCCGAGATGGCTGAGTGCAGGGGCGTGTCTGTGTGGGCATCCTGCAGCAGGGAGCCAGCGGTCACTCCACAGTGACTTCCTATGCTCAGCTAGGGTCAGGCGCCCAAAACCCAGACTCACAGGCAGGTTGACGTCACAGCCGCACTCACACAGGACCCGCACCACCTCCAGGAAGCCCCTCTGCACTGCCACGTGCAGGGCTGTGCTCCGGGTGCTGTTGAGTGCGTTGGCCCCACAGCCTGCACTCAGGAGCACCCGGGCAGCCTCAGGCTGGTTCCTGATGGCAGAGGAAGGGATGCTGTACTGCTGGCTGGGCCACAGACTCAGTCCCTGGGGACCCCCAGCCTGCCAGGTCTCACCCCAATGCTGCATAATGCAGTGCGGTGTTGCCCTCCTCGTCTGGCAGGTCCATGCCTGCTCGTGCCTGCAGCAGAAGATGCACCAGCTCCATCTGTCCCAGGTAGGTGGCCACCTGCAAGGCAGTCCTGCCCTGGTTCCTGGTGTCCACCTGCCAGGAGAGCCAGCGATGAGTTCCAGGCCCTGCCTGGCTTCCTGCTGGCCTTTGGGGTGGGCAGGGCAGAACTTACCTGCTCTGGGTGCCTCCGTAGCAGGTCCAGTGCCCGTGCCACATTACCCAGAGCCGCCTCCACCACCAGCCTCCCGGGGTGCTCGGGGTCACTCTTCTGGGTGCGCAGCTTGTCCAGGGCCAAGCTCAGTGAGCCTGGGGCAGGGCAGAGTCAGTGCCAGGCAGGGCCACCCTTCCTCCTACCAGCCACCCCCAGGGTTGGTGCCACACTCTTGTTCTCCCGCGCACGCTCGGCCACATCCAGGTTGGTGTCCTCCTCAGGCCGGTAGGCCACCAGGCAGGAGGGGCTGAAGGTCCACTGCTGCCCACCAACTGCCACTCGCAGGGTGCCATCGCCAAACACCTTCACCACTTTGCCAACACGGCCCAGGGCCTGAGGGAGAGGCAGGGTCACTGCAGGTCTGTGGGGTGAGGGCAGTCTGCAGCAGGGCAGGTGACTCACGGGAGCCATGTCATCTGTCCACTCGCCGTGCCCAGCCTGCAGCCGCTTCACAGTGTCGAGGTCATCGATGACCCGGACCACGTCGCCCACCCAGAAGGAGTTGTGCTAGGTGATAGAGAGACAGGTAAGAGAGTCCCCAGGCACACGTGGCTGCTCAGCATTGCAGAGGATGCCCCATGGAGCCATACAGGCCCAGCAGGCCCAGACTCAACCCCAGTTCCTAACCCAGCAGCAGTGGAGGATCTGGCTGGACAAGGGCCCCAGGTGACCAAAGCACCTTGGGTGGCCCAGCTCATCATGGGGTGACAGCTGAGGGAGTGGGAGGTGGCATCCACAAGAGACAGAAGCCAACTCTAGGGAGAGACCAGGGCTGCAGGGGTGGGACTGGGCAGGGTCTGTGTGTAGTCCAGATGGGATGGGGCTAGGGCAGGGTGGAGACAGAAGTCCACAGCCCCTTGCAGAGAGAGCCTCCTCTGCTCACTGCTAGTTCTGCAACTCCCCTGTTGCCTATTTGAAGCCCCAAGCTCCGTGTCCTGGACCCAAGAGTCACAGCTGAGCACAGACCACACGTACATGCACAAACTGCCCCAACTCCACCCATTATCCCCAGTTTCACTTCCCACACACCTCCCTCTTTCCTCCGTGCTCCCCCTGGCCTCCCTGTCTGATCTGCCTCATGCTGTACCCGCGGGGAGACCTCAGAAAGCAAGCCCAGCCTTCATGTTCAATCTGCTAAGCTGCCCCTGCTGACCCCAGGGCTCTGGCGCCTGCCACTCCTCTGGGCCCCACCCACCTCCAGGTCTGCGACTCCTGGGGTACCAGTGCCCTGGCCCTGCCTGACCACTCACACAGCCAAGCAGGTACCCAGAGGAGGCTCGGCCCAGCCCCCCAGGCACCTTGGTGAGCGCCCCGGGGTGGAAGGTCCAGCGGATCTCGTGGTTGAACTGCACACGCACGTCCCCACGGTCTGTGATGCGGTGCACGGTGCCCGTCTGTCCGATAAACTGTGGCGGGTCACGGAGGCTATGGCTGGGGCAGGCAGAGGGCTCGGAAGGGGAGGGTAAATGGGGTTCAGCGGGCCAGGCAGCTCACCTCCGCCATCCTGGGGTTCCAGCCGCCGTGGCCTTCCTGCATGTCCCTCAGGACCTCTGTGTCCAGCAGACACTTCACCTTGTCCCCACGCTGGAAGGGCTGGCCGTCGGCACTCACCCTGCGCTGCAGCTCTGCCGGCTTGCCTGGGGGGTGGCAGGCCAGGCCTCAGCAGCGCCTGAGCCCCCAGGAGGACCAGGGCAGACAGGCTGCAGGACTGCCCCTACCGAGCCGTGGGAGGTGCTCCTTGTAGTAGAAGCCACCGGCTACCTCGCCCACACATTTGAGGTCCACCTTGCCCTTGTGGCCCACGCGGTACACGTTGGTGGTTCCATCAGCCCAGGTCACACTGGCCACACTTCGGCCGGTCTCCACGTCCCAGCCACGGATGTCTACCACACGGCCCAGCTTCCCTTCCCCTCCTAGGGAGACAGTGTCACTCCAGACAGCTGGGACTGTGCCCTGGGTCCGAGCTGCCCATCCACCCACCTACCCACCCCAGCCACTACTCACCATCCTGGGACCCCCACTCCCAGTCGGGGCCTCGCACCACCTTTGCTCCCTGGAAGATGCCCCTGAGTGGGATCCGCAGGAGGCCCTGGCGGGGACTCAGTGTGACACTGCAAGAGAGCCAGGCCTGAGCTGTGCAGGGGTGGTGTCACCAGCTGAGGCTATGGGACAGGTGTCCTGGCTCCCAGGCCCTGCTCACCCCGGGAGGAGGCTCCATGAGGCCCAGGGCTCAGAGCTCAGCTCTGAACCATCACCCAGGCCTTATGTCTCCCACCAGGCAGCTGGACCCTAAAGCACACACTTCCCTCCACGTACAGGGTCAGGGTAGGAGACAGTCAGTGACACCACTCAGTGCCTGTCCTCTCCCAGCCTCTCTGCCCAGGGCCATGCCCAGCTGTGCACGCAGCTGGCTCCAAGGGTGACCGCCTGGTCAGAGGCCTTGCTGCTAGTGCTGGTGCCTGCCAAGGATGCTGACTGCCTCAACGGACAGCGCTGCCTGTGTGGCCATACACAGGGCACCCCTAGTGCCCTCCTGCAGCTCTACTGAGAAGCACAGCCTGGCCTCAGGCTGTGTAGGCACAGAGGTGACCCTGGCTACAGCACCTGAATTGGAGACCATCTTGGGAAATCGGCGACCTTCCCAGGAGAGACTGCGACTCCAGCCCTTGCTCAAGAACGGCTCCAGAAGGGGCCAGGGATTTACCTCAGTGGCACCATGCCTGCCTTGCAAGTGCAAGATCTGGAGCTTGATCCCCAGTATTGCCAAAAACAACAAAAAAAGGGCTTCCCTCTCTGGGAACTGGATAGCCCTCAGAGGACAGGGCCCCGTGAAGGGAACTCACGGGCGCGAGTGGGATGTCTCATAGCGCTCGAAGGCATGGGTGAGGTCGTGCTTGTTGTGCATGTAGCACTGTGTGCAGAGGTCATAGTCGAAGCAGACGCGGCACTTCCAGCGCATGCCCCGCAGCCCATGCTTCTTGCAGCAGTCACAGATGATGTTGGGGTGGCGGACACCTGGGGTGGGGTGGCTTGGGGTCAGCAGGGGGTGTGGGGCCCTGCCCACCCCATGCACTGAGCACCGCGGCTGTGCCACCTACCGATCTGAGCATTGTCATAGAGCAGCAGGTCATGGGCACCCTGGTAGCCAGCTCTGTAGTTGGTGCGGGTGCCCTGGTCCCACTGCACCACGACGGTTCGGTCAGGCGTCGAGGGGCTGCAGTGCCGGCCCAGCTCTACTACAGTGCCCACGCCGCCCTCGCCTCCATCCTGCTGGCCCCACTTCCAGTCCACACCACGCACGACACGCATGCCCACCTGAACACCCGCCTGGGGGTCAGGGTCCATGGTGGGCAGGCTGCTGGACCTGCAGCACAGAGCACCTTCAGGTGACAGGATCTACTCAGCCTGCGGGACAACTGTCCTGGGATAGGAGTGGGACCTGAAGTGCAGAGAACAAACCCGAAAGAACCTGCAGACAGGGCAGAAAGCATATGGTTGCCCTGGGCTGGAAGAGTGGGAAACAGGAGGAAGTCCTGGCTTTCGAGGTGGGGCCCACAGGCAAGGAGCCCAAGGGAGCAGGACCACTGTGGACATCTGCTGGGGGAACAGCACCCAGCACATCATCAAAATCTGTACATTTTCTCTGATTTCTTGTGATTCTGTTTGTGACTGAACCCAGGGGATCTAACTCAGGCCTGGAACGTGCTAGACAAGGGCTCTACCACTGAGCGGAGGCCCCAGCCCTGCATTTGAAAATGATCAGATTTGCACTGAAAACAGCAGTTTGAAAGGTGAGACAATTCCACTTCAGGAGAAAACAGACTATTTCTCTGCACAGTCAAGGGATGTGTAGGGTGCATGAAAGGGCACATGGCCTGTTAGGGAACATGTCTGCCATCTGTGGTCCCTCAGAGGACCTGTGCAGAGGGGCAAGGAGATCTGCAGGTGGATACGAAAGGCCAGGCAAAGCAGTGAGGAATGGGAGAGACCGGAAATGGGCTCAGAGTCAGACACTGCCACTGGGAGGACTGTACTTGGCCTCACATGAGGGACAGTGCCCAGCACAGGGGTGGCACCTCCAGAAGCTCCTGCCCCATAAGCTTCCTAGTCCTCTAGGAAGAACTGAGTTCTACAGTGGCTTTTTGTTTGGTTTTGGTTTTGGTTGTTTGAGACAGGGTCTCATTATGTAGTTGAGACTGACCTGGAACTCACTATGTAGCCCAGGCTGTCCTTGAACTCACAGTGATCCTCCTGCCAGCCTCCCAATGCAGGTGGATACGAAAGGCCAGGCAAAGCAGTGAGGAATGGGAGAGACCGGAAATGGGCTCAGAGTCAGACACTGCCACTGGGAGGACTGTACTTGGCCTCACATGAGGGACAGTGCCCAGCACAGGGGTGGCACCTCCAGAAGCTCCTGCCCCATAAGCTTCCTAGTCCTCTAGGAAGAACTGAGTTCTACAGTGGCTTTTTGTTTGGTTTTGGTTTTGGTTGTTTGAGACAGGGTCTCATTATGTAGTTGAGACTGACCTGGAACTCACTATGTAGCCCAGGCTGTCCTTGAACTCACAGTGATCCTCCTGCCTCAGCCTCCCAAGTGCTGGGATTACAGGCATGCGCCACCACACCCGGCTTGCAGTGGCTTTTGTGTGTGGTTGATTTTTTTCTTTTATTTATTTATTTATTTATTTATTTATTTTTTTTGGTACCAGGGATTGAACTCGGGTCCTTGTGCTTGCAAGGCAGGTGGTGAAACCACTGAGCTAAATCCCCAGCTGGTTGATTTCTTTCTTGCTTGCTTTTTGGTTTTTTGAGACAGGGTCTCACTTTGTAGTTCAGGCTGGCTTTGAACTCATGGCAATTCTCCTGTCTCAGCCTTCTGAGTGCTAAGGTTACAGGTATGTACCACCACCCTTGGCTCCCAGACTTATTTATTTATTTATTTTTGGTACCGGGGATTGAACTCGGGTCCTTGCACTTGCAATGCAGGCCACCCAGACCTTTTTATTTTGAGACAGGGTCTAAGTCTGTAAATTTACCAGGTCATACTTGAACTTGCAATCCTCCTGCCTCAGCCTCCTTTAGCCCCCAAGGGAATACAAATCATCTTCACTATATAGAGAGGGAAAGCTCACAAATGGACACTGAAGGGCAGCAAGTGCAAGAGAGAATGCACTGTAGTGACTCCACTCACAGTAGTCTGCAAATGCACAGCAACTCCAAACCACCCTGGAGCTGAGCTCCAGCTGTGGTCCTATGCATTCACTTTGTGTGACCTAAGCATTCTGTATTGTGCCAGTCTTGAACGGTCTTTTTAATAAGAATGAATTTGTTATTGTTTTGGTTTCTTTCTTTTCTTTTTTTTTGGCAGTACTGGGATAGGCTTAGGTTTTACCCTACGTTGCGCAGTCTGGGCTTGAACATGGGATTCTCCTGCCTCAGCCTCCCAGAATGCTACGATTACAGATATGTTCTACTGTGCCCAGCTAGTAGAGATGAATTTGAAAGACAAGACCTAGACAGGAAGAGTGTCAGAGAGCCACCTCTACTCATCTTATTTAACTGGTAGGCCCTGTGGCTAGGAAAGGGGCCACCCAGGCCCTGTCCAGGCTGGGGAGAGGGGACTAGAAATCCAGCTTCAGGACATGGGTTGAGCTGAAGACGGGTGTAGCAGTTGGGGGAGGGGATGCCACCAGCTGACCAAGGCCCAGCTAATGCCAGCTGGGGCTCTCTTCAGCCACAGGATACTGAGGCCACACAGCACCTGGTAAGCCATGAGGGAAGGACACATGCCACCCCTACCTGGATCTGCTCCAGGGTCCCTGTCCCTGTGCCTGGCTAGTTCAGAGCCTCCTGCCCCACGTCTGCAGCCAGGCAGTGAGGAAGGCCAGGCTAGGCTCAGGGCCAAGTGTCTGCACCATAGCAGATGCCCAAGTCCCAGGGCTGTCCCAGAGCCAGGCCTGCTCGAGGAGCCCACTATGGCCAGTGCAGGGTTAGGGCAACTCCCTCAGAGTATTGGTGGGAATCACTCAGCCAGCTCAGCCTTCTATTGCTCTCCCCACCCTACCTCAGTCCTGGATGCCAGGGCTGCTTCAGGAGCAGAAGGATATATTGATTTATTGGTCAGTCCTTGGGACTGAACCCAGAGCCTTCACAGTGAGCTACACTCCCAGCCCTGCTTACTTAAGGCAGGGCTTATCCACACCAGGCCAGGCTCGGACTTCCTGTTTTCTCGCCTCAGCCTCCTGCTTATAGGGTTGTGGGTGAGCACCAACATGTTAGAAGCACTCTCCTGGCCCAGGTGGCACAGAGACCTAAAGCCAGTCAGGCTCCAGCAGCAGGGGCCTCCTCCTATTCTGCTCATGGTAGGGTCAAGACTACCAAAGGCAGCCGGAGCCTCAGTGAGGATGCTCCAAGCCAGGGTGCTGAGGGCCAGCAGCCAGCTCTGCCTTTCCCATGCCCCTCTGCAGGCAGTGAGGCTTCACCTCTCCATCATGAGCCCAAGGTATCCCACATAATGCTGCTCAGCTCTCCCTAGGCTTGGCTACAAGGCCAAAGAGGAGGGCTGTGAGGGCAGCTAGTGTGGTCATCATGCAACATCCTACGTGCATCCTGGATGGCCCTGCCAGCCCTGGAGACCAGACAGAGTGAGCAAGACAAACGGAAACAGAGGAAACAGCACTCGGTTCCTACGATGACCACAGGTCCTGAACCCCTGCCAGCATAGACCCTGCACACCACCTGAGCAGCACAGCTGCGGCTGGCACAGGACACAGTTCCCTGGCTAGCTGGCCCCACGCCCTCCCTGACACAGACCTATGGTCTGTGCTGGGGGAGGCCACCCTGCCATCCCTCCCAGAACCACTGGGCTGCTCAGGCCTGACCTGCAGCACCACCAGCTGGGGCAGCTCTGCCAGCTTCTGCTCCCTGAAACACATAGGACAGGGCCTTGCTGGCACGTGGTGGTACTGCCCCTGAGGGCACAGGCCCCACCCCTAGCAGATCCACAATTCCTGCTTCCTCCCAGGAGCCTGTCAGAATTAACCAGAGCTGGTGGGCACATGAAGGGGTCCCTTCTTGCTAAACACTCCATCTGTTTAGCAAGAGCAGGGCTCATTCAGGCAACCAGACCCATACAAGTGCAAAAAGACACCTAGCCACAGGGCCTGCTGCCAGGAGACACTGAGACGAAGGACTGGGGGAAAAGTCCCATGCGCTGCCAGGTGGTAGCTACCTCTGCCAGATAGCATGTGCTCCACCTCTGGCAGCCCAGCCCCTGCCATACCTGCCACTGCTGGTCTATGGTTCCCTGGCCACTGCTGTTGGGCTTTTTCCAACAAGACATGGAAGGGCACTTCAAGCATGAACCCACACACACCCCAGCCCAACACTGTCCATACAGGGTGGCTAGAGGTTCTGAGAGGAAGGTGGAGGTGCCTGCAGGATCCAGGGCCAACAGGACTGGTCCTCAGCCAACATCTCCTACACAAAGGGTAGCAGGAGGCTGCCAGGAGTGCCCAGTCCATGACAGAGGCGCCAACAGTGGCTGGCACCTGCCTGCCGTTAGACCTGGTATTTTTAGTACAATCAGACAGCTCTTTGTCCTGGCCAGCCAAATACCTCCTCTCTCAAAGGACCCGACCAGAGTTGGAGCACTGAGCTGGAACCTGGAGAAAGCTTCCTGCCCAGAACCAGCACCCTGATGCCCAGGGCTCCCCAAAGAAAGAGGGCCCAGAGGAGCCAAGCTGAGCTGAGGGCACTTGATCGCTCCACAACCTCCCTGGGCACCAGGATGTGTGTGCACTGACTGTCCAGCCCTCATGGTACAAACATCCTGGGGAGCCTCCATGTCACCGCCCTCCTGTACCCACATCCTGTAGATAGATTGCAGGGTCTGTCCTCAGGGTCAAAAGCTGTACCTGGCTCTGGCTGGGCTCCTCTCCTGAGCTGAGCCTCTGGTGATAGTTCTCCACTGTACAGTCACCACGGGACATTAGCCCTGTCCAGCAAGGGCTCTGGGGCCTCAGAAGCACCTGGACTTGGTCGGCAACCTAGGACACTCGAGGGACCCTGAAGGTAGCTTTTCCTCTCCCCTCCCCCCAGGCCTCCCTGCCTGGTCTTCATCACTGTTGACCCTGGCCCCGGCATGTCACTGCTGGTCATGTTCCACCTACCATGCAGATCCTGCACCCTCAGCCTCAGGGCTCCCTCCCTCAGACCCTGTGGTCTTCAGGATAGGGGCACAGGAGGGTCTCTATCCTCAGGAGTTAGAGGAATCAGGAGTTGAAGGCAGCTATGAGACCCAGACACATTAGGTAAGGGCCCCAGTTGAGATGTCCTGCTGCCCCTCTTTAGGAAACCTCTCCCCATAGAGTGGCATGAGGATCTTGCCACCCTCACTTCTCACAGACGGCAAAACCTAGCCAACCTGGAGTGGAGCTTGTTGACAAAGGGCTTGTCTCTTGGGCTTCCTTGACTATCACTGTCCTCTTCCGACCATGGGACAAACACATCATCACCCAGGGCTGGGGGCAGTCCAAGCATGGTGGACCATGGGCTGCTGTGCTCAGGCTCTGAGCAAATCTAGGAAAAGGCCTGGGTGGCCCAGCAACTTGGTGCCCAGGCCAGCCACTCTGCAGAGCTCAAGTGGGTGCTGCACTACCCAGGACTCCATGGAGAGGAATCCCCAGTGAGTGACAGGCATGGAGGCCTGTCCCGGGGAAGGGCTGCCACCCAGACCCTCTGGAACAGGTACATTTGGGGACACTTTACTACCACCACCTCCTCCTAGGACCCACCCTGTCCCAGCCTCCTGACTACCACCACATGCCAGTCCTTCCTGAAGATCAAGAGACATCTATGCCACTTGCTCCCACCTTCCCGCCCTAACCCTGCCAGCTCCAGGCACAGAGGAAAGTTCTTGTGAGCCCTGAGTACCCTGCAAGCTGGCCAGAGGCTTCCGGGAAAGTGGAGAGCCCCATGGCTGGCCTAGACTTCAAGCTGATCTGCCAAAGTCTCATGGAGATAGCCACAGCCTTGTGGGACCACAACCCACAGTATGCACTGCCCTGTCCAGCAAGGACTAAGAGCTGTAGCAATCCCAGCTCCAGGTACATGGATGGCCTTACCTCAAACCACAGAGCAGGTGCCAAGTCATCCCCTGCCACCCCTCACCTAAACATAAAACTGACACCTCACACTTCACAATGCTGAATACCGCAGTGTGCCACACATGCCACCGTCAAAGTGGAAACTGACTCACAGGGCTCCCAACTTGTTTCCTTTGCCAGAAATGCTGGACTTGCTAAGTATTCTGGGTTTTGGAGGCTCTCATCTTGCTACAAATGTCTACAAAGACTGTGGGGCCAGCAGAATATAAGGAGTTGGTCAGCAAGTGTGCTTCAGAGAAAGCAGAACTCACCTCAGAGCACACAGAAGCCTCGAGTCAGCATCCCAGGCATTTACTTGTTACTTCCTGGGTCACAAATTCGCTCAGCCACCAAGATTTCCAGTGAAAAGCTAGTAGCCATTGCCAACACAGAACACAGCAAACCAAGTGGGCAGCCAGCAAACCAGTCTGGGGAAAAATGGTTTTAGAGGCAGTTTTACACACTGGTATTTGCCACCCCAACCATACAGTGGCCACTGGGGCTGTTGCGGCCCACATGAATCTCTTTCTACAAGAACCATCCATCTCTTAAGAGGACAGAAGCCCTGGACGGTGCAGGAAGACACTGTTCCCTATTTGTGATTACTTTATTAGAAAGCTTTACAACAACACAGAAATTAAATCATGTTTATCAATGAAGTTATCAGATTGCTTTTATTCAGAATAAAATTAAGTGATGCAGATAGCATGGGAATGAGGTTGTCCTACTCTTAACACCTCAGCTGTACCCAATGACACTGCCAAACTAACAGAGTGGCAGAGTCAACTGGCCAAAAACGGTGCATGACAGGCTCCTCCCATTGGACAGTGATTCTAGGATGCAGGTGGGCATCCTGGGTGCCATGGAGACCAGCCACTAGGGAGTGGGGTGAAGCCCCCAGACAGAGGCCAGGGAACCTGACCTTACACCCATTGAGACACTTGCCGGGAAAAGCCATTCCATTCGGTCTGGGGCATCTGCTGATATTGGCCATCTAGCTAGAGACCTTTGTCACCCCACCACAGCCTGGGCTGACCTTGGACAGGACAGCAACATTCAGACACTTGTTGCATCTGGAGCAACAGGCCAGGGTATAAAGGGAGCCAGCGACCTACTCGAAGGGCCAGGCTCACCAGGGCTGCATGGGCTGCTCTATGCGGACAACCCGGCTGGTGCCCATCAAGAGCCTGTCTAGCACCTTTGTTTTTCTCAATTGGTTCTGATGGTTTCTCCCACCCCCACCCACGCATATGCACACTCAGATACAAACAACCCTGCCGATGGATGCGGCACAGACATGGAACCAACCGCATCCAAGCGCTCACCTGTCTGGCCGTCCACGGTCCCGGCCCACCTTGAGGCTCGGGCTGCAGCCCTGATGCCTGGACCCCAGGGACTGACCTCGACCGTGCAGAGCTTCGGCGCGAGCACCGAGCGATCCAGTCCTGCGGCCGGGATGCCAAGACAAACAGTTAGAACCTGCGACAGAGCGCGAACCCC